CAAGACATGTAAGACCACACTCTTTGCTTACAGTCAGATCAATGTGTCACTGCTGAATCTCACAGTCTTTCTATCCCAGAACAGTGAGTAAATCTATGGAAATCTTTGCCTGACTCTATTTTGTGCAAGCGGAAGATGAAATGATGTAACCAGTTTAAAGAGCCTAATTGCAAAACACGTAATCAGCTGACCGCCGAACCAATAATGCACAGCAAGAGAGGTGGTTGTATTGGGAAATAGATAAATAAATGTGTTACCAAAAAATTAAACATCAAAATTAATGTCAATTCTCGTTAATTCTGCTGGTAATTCTATAACCGCCAACATCCTCTATTCCTTTTGTATGCGTTTAGTTAAGTTATACATTAAAATATAAAGTTCCAGAGTTTAAATCTGCACTAAAACACTACCAGTTCACCAGGAGCAACTGACTTCTTTTGCAATTTTTTCCACGAACTTGATATCCGTCTGGTCCTTTTGTAAAAAGCATTGAGACGTTGTATGATGCGTTTGTTAAGTACTTTATATTACTATTATTATAAAAAGTGCTTGGCTTCTTGGCGTTGCAAGGCACTCGAGGCATGAATTGAATAAAAGAATAGCCAAGGATAATGAGTTTAGAGCTGAATAATACCTTACAAAAATAAAACCCTGACCCAGAACAAAATAAAGATTGCTACACCACGTAAGTACCAAGTTTTTTTTGAACATCATTCCTGCCTCTCAATATGCGTTACTACTAATTAGCGCAAACTATAGTCAATGTCATTAACGTTATCCACCGAAAAAAAACATTTACACATTTACAAATTTACACATTTAGACTAAAAGATATATCACGTGTTTCATTATGTATCCTTTGCCTTGTGTGCGTCAGCCTGAACTTTAAATGTAAAATTCAACTCGTGAATCGAAAATCCAGAATGCCCTGACCATTTAGTGAGGATTTAAGATGGAGAATGGTATTTCAGCATTTTTTTAATGCCAGAACCTTCGAGGAAACACATGATATTTCTTTTAGCCTAAAATGTGTAAATGTGTAAATGTATAAATGTCTTTTTTTGGTGGACGTTAATGACATTGACTGTATTATATTACTCGCTAGACGATGTATCTTATTTTTATCGGACCACAAAGTAAACTACTCTATGTCCAATAAAGTCATTATTATTATTATATTTGTTGGAATAATCTACGGTTCCTATTCGTGTTTCTTTGTATCACCTTCGCGTGTTCATTCTTAAACCGCAAGTAAATTTCGAAAGCATCGCATGATTGAACAACTTTCCAAATACCATAGAAAATTCAAGCATAATGGTTGCGGTTTCAAAAGCCCATTTCTTAGCTTATAATCGGTATAATCAAACACATTAGTAAATCCTGTAAGAACTCCCATGAGATTAAGTAGTTTTAGAGTATATATAATGCTTTCAGGAACTAACATGGGTGGTGTTGTCGAGCATGTCCAGATAAAAGTCACTGATTTAATAATTAAACGAGACTTACCTGTAAGTCGATGTTTGATTGGAATTCTATCACGGCATCAGTCAGGAACGAAGGAGTCACATGAGAAGCACGCGCTTGCTTATTGAATCATTCTTGACAGCGAGCGAACCCAGGAAAAATAATAAGATGGCAGGAACGAAGGAGAAAAGGGGGGGGGGGAGGGGGAACGAAAGAGAGGCAGAGAAATCAAATTTTCCTAGGGTAGGACATGTGACTCCTTCGTTCCTGACTGATGCCGTGATAGAATTCCAATCAAACATCGACTTACAATCACGTCATCAGTCTACGTCACTACGGAAACA